ACACGAGAAAAGGGAGGCCCGGAGAGGCTAAATGGCTTGCCCGAAGTGATGGGGTTGTGGCAAAGTCAGAGGGCAGAAATGGGGAGTGGGGGAGGGAGGAAGAAAGGAGGGGTGGGAAGCTTGCACAGAAGCCCTGCGGGGGATGAAACCAGCCACCTCCTCACTTGTCTGCGAGTACCAATGGTCATCACTCCCCGGCCCAGGGACGCCCCCAGCCTGGCCACCCCCATGGCCCTGCCTCGCCCCCACAATGGATCAGCAGTGGACATCCATTCAAGTCGGCCAGGTCAAAAGGGCAAGCCCAGTCCTCTTCTGCTGCGAGCTGGAAATGCACCAGTGTCCAGGGGCAGGTCCTGCACTGGACGGCTGTGCCTCGGCTGGCGGCCATGCCTGGGCCAGGTGCACGCTGGGCGAGCAGCAGAGGCCCACGGGAGAAGCACGGGTGGCGGGAACACGCAATTCTTGACGAGCAGCTTCCTTTCTCAAATTCCGGTTCCTGGGTCCTTCCAGACCTCCTGTGCTCCGTCTCTGAATCTTTGCAATAATCTTCCCAGTTTTTTCTCGAGCAAGGCTGAGTGCGTGTTTGACTCTTTTTTATCTTTGAGAGCCTCCTGAGACATTGGCTCCATTTGTACAGACGAGGAAACTGAGGTCCAAGGAAATTAATTTATGCAAAGTGCTTAGGTGCCCAGAACTGAAATTCGTTTATACTTACAAGACCAAAGCTAGAAGCTCGCTGCAGAGGCATTTTTCTAACTCAAGCGTGAAATACATTCTCTCTGCCCTTCCTAATATGCAGCCCGCCCAGTCAATTTTAAATAATGAACTAACAAAGGGGGGAAACTCCAGACAGAGAGATAGGGAAGCGTGGGGTGGAACTTATGATTAGACTGGAAATTTCTTTCTAAGTCTAAGCTGGTTTCAGCAAGAGATTGGTAGGCTCTTGAAATAAACACTGGTGGAGTATTTCTTCACTCACACCTTTTATCTTCAATGCCTCAAGTATGTTACAAATCTCGCATTGTCCTCATGACACATCTGCTTTAAGGAGGGTGAAAAGGCAGGCTAGTTAGGAGGCCAAAACACAAGGCTTTTTAGAACACATAAATGCCATTTTTAGTCTAATGCGTGGCTAGGGTGCGGCTCAGGTTTCTCGTCTGTCACTTCGGGGCTCAGGACTCACACACGTTCAATGGCAGCCCTTTACTTAAGGGAGCAGCAGCATGTGAAGTATTGTTCCGCAGGTTTTGACAAAGGCTGAAAGAGGTCTCACGTGGATGCATAGCTATGGGGTTCCCCTCTCCCTACTCTTGGGTCACCCACTGATACCTGTGAGGTCAGACCTTTGGATGAAAAGGGGCTCTACGTGCAGGGTGATCTGACCATAAATTCCTACGTGGGCGGGTCATGGTGGGTAGTCACACGCCTGGCACACACCTTAAGTAAAAAGCTCCTTTGCCTTCAGCAAGCCCTGTCCACTGTTGCTGTGCATACACCTTTGCGATGCCGCTTTCTCAGGCCCCTCAGAAGCAAAGCTACCCTCGAGACAGCACGTCATTTTGCAATCCAAGCGCCACCTGGCTTTCTCCCACCTCCGTGTCACCGTCCCTATGTTCCCTCCTTAATTCCAGATGCATAAAAGAAGCTGCAAACTGTCATTCTAATGAAGCATTTTACTCAGTCTGTTGAGATCGTTTCCAGGTGGATCCTCTGTTTGGCTCCAATAAATTTTTATAAAAATTCTCTACAGGTTTGGGCGTCCTTGTGTCAACAGACCTTATCCCAAGAGGGGCCCATGCAGGCAAAGAGCCAGCGCTTCTAGGTCACCTGGCCAGTGACAGCCCCCACAGGCCTGGGTGTCATGAGGTTGAGGACGCTGGCCTTTGTGGCTCTGTCCCGAGGACACGTGAAAGCCAGGATCACCCCTACACACAGGCTGGAACCAATCCACACCTCAAAAGTTAACGAATTAGTGGACGCCAGGGGCTGAAGGCAGGGGCACTGGGAATAACGAATCAACAAATCAACAGATGGGGGCGTTCTTCTGGGGTGATGACGAAGTTTGAAGCCGGAGAATGGTGATGGTTACACAACACTGTGGATGCAGTAAGTGCCAACGAATTACACGCTTTAAGACGGTTAATTGGATAGTATGGGGACTTCACATCAGAAAAGCAAACAAACAAAAAACCAACAAAACCCATAGAAAATCAGAAAAGCGTGGAGCTCCACAGCCTGAAAAGTAACCCCAGAAGAGCAAGAATTTGTCAGGGATTCTCATATGGTCCAGGCAGAGGGCACCCGGCCAGCTATACCCCCCCAGAGAGTGGACGAGTCCAGGTAGCTGAATGGCACCACTCTTTAAGTTCACCCGACTCATTTCTTAGTTGAAAGTATCCTTGACTTTCAAGTAAACTTATAGTTCAAGGAGAAAAAAAATCTAATTTCACTTTTACTCTAAAAATTTGCCATGCAGCTCACGTTTATGGCTGGAAATGCATTTCTGCTGGCAGGTGCTGGCCACGGGGACCCTTGCCCATGTAGCTCCTGTGCCCTTCAGGGCGCCAGGTAAGGGAGGCAGCGAGGACGGAGTGGCCGAGGGCACACAGACGCAGCTCCAGGCCTGGGCTTTGCCGCTTGTTCACAATAATCCTCTGAGCCTCACTGCCCATCTGTGAGATGGGCGGGGCGCAGAGCAGGTGCTTAGGCTGACGCGTCCTGAGAGGGCTTCCCACCCTGACGGGCACCCGCACAGCCCTGGGATCAAGCCCACGTCTCCCCGCCGAGCTCCATCCTGGGCTCCCATGCTCGCCAAGGAGCAGTCGGGCCAAGCTGTGTCCCGTCCGGGCCCGCCTGCCTTCACACTGGTCTCACAGTGAAGGGAGCTAGGGGCAGCGTCGCCCCTGCTCGTCGTGAACAGCAGCAGCCACAGGCGCTTAATAAACTTACTGGGTGACGAGCAGCGGGCTCAGTAACAGGTGAAGATCACTCCCCGGAGTTGCTGGAATGACAGCCAAATCCCCAAACCAGGCACCAAGCGAAACCCTGGACATAGAAGTTGAAACCCCGGGAGCTCCAATCTCACAATGAGGTTGCGACAAATCAATAGTGAATACTAAGCAACACAGAACACACTGCATTTATGTTTCGGGGAGGTGGGAAGGGAGAAGCCATAAAAAATTGGTCGAATGTGTCAAGATCCTGCCCCTCCTTTTTTTTTTTGCCATAGCCAGTGGACGGTCTCTAGAATGCTGTGAGAGAGACACAGCGACGCTGCCAAGGAGGTAAAAGTGACCCCCCCCCTCCACGTTCCCAGGGGCCCTTTAGGCCGAGATGGAGACCGGGCGCCCCTCTGGCTCTTCTCCAGACGGCCGCCCCCCCCCCCACACCGTCCCATTTCCGCTTCCCAGACATCTAGCAGCTCGGGTAACTCCGGCTCGGTGCCAGAGAAAGCAAACCACAGAAACGACACCCAGGGAACTGCCAGAGCCAAGGAGGGGCTCCATGCAGGCCCCCCCCCCCATTAACCTCCTCCTGCCCTGCTCAGGACGGGGCCTGCCCTGCGCAAGCTGTGCCTCAGACCCAAAGGTGAGGCCGCCTGGGGGTCAGACAGGAAGCCATGTTGCAAGGCCCACTGGAGACAGGAGCCAAGCTGCATACTTGTGTTTGATTTCAGAAAGCCTGGCATTCCAGCCAATGCCCAGCCAGAAGAATGCTAGGAATGCGGCCGCCTTTCACCACAACCCAAACAGAGAGCAGATCCAGGGCAGGGGGCTGCTTCCTGCGCTGAGGCCTCAGTGGGTGAGGACTGGCCTGGGACCCAAACACTCCCGAATTCCTCACTTCACTATTAAAAGCCCCCAGGTCATAACCCAAAGCGTCCCAAACATTCTTTCTACCCTAAAGAACAGGCAGGCCCTAGACTCATGGGTGATATAAACGGCGGGGAGAGGAAACCATTGGGACAAAAACCAAACCCCTTTCCCCGGTAGACCAGAGGATGCTTACGATTTTTAAAGAAGAAAAACCTGAAACAATTCCTGCGGCGCCCACTTTATTTGGAATGGCTTTTGTTATTCAATCATGACCCTGAAAGGAAGCAGCCTCTGAGCCCCTCCCTCTGAAGTCCCCCCAGTGACCCAAGGTCATGTAAACGTCCTCTTTAAGTTGGTCCAAGCCCTTTCACCTGAGGAGGAAAGGTTCTTTGGTGTTTTCATACACACGCAGGCAGCCACCGTATGACCGAAAGCTCTTACCCAACTGACTTTACAAAAGATGGTTTCTGTCTATTGCCAAGAGACTGAAAAGAACAGCCAAGAAAATAGCCGAGAACATTCTACCAGGATACCCTTTACTCTTTCATTTCTGCTGGGATTTCCAAATGCCTCCAGTTACGTCTCATGAACGGGCTAGTGCTTCCTTTTAACATTTTCTGCTATTGTATTCCAAGGACACACAGAGCTCTCCCAGAGTCCCAGGGCGGGTGGCCCGGAACCAGGGGGCCAAATGGGGCTCCCGCGTTGTCCGGGAACGCAGAACCTCGTACCGCGTAAGAATCACTCCTTTGTGCAGGCACAATAGGACCGCCAGCCTGGGCTCTGTCCCCTGGCTGTCAGGGTGCAGAACAAGCTGCCCAGCTGGTTTCTGGGTACAGCAAGAAGGCTCCATTGGTGGCAACAGAAGGGGAAGTGACAGAAAGTAAACAGAAACGAGAGACTGGTTCTGGGAACTCTCCTGTGCCAGGCACACAGGTGACATCTGACCTTCCCGTGTGCAGGACATGGAGAGATGACCAGGATGTGAAGACAGAGCCAGGAGGGAGATGTTTGCAGTGCCCCAGAAGAACAAGTTGTGTCACTGGAAGCTTCTGGAAGCCACTTGGCCCTCCTGAGCTGCTACGCACACATATGGAGCCCATCTCCCTACCTGGGTTTGTGCTTCTCGGTCCCGACCCAGCCCAGGTACAGCGACTCATTCAAACCCCCGTCTGCATCGCTTACCTACAGCAGGCAGGCCACCAGCTCCCTGACGTCAGAGGCACAGTCCCGGGACCCGGCCTTCCGTCCAGAAAAGGGGGGAGATGCTGCAAGGCAAAAAACGGGAAACATGACTAAGATTCAGTCTCCTTTGGCCGAAAAACTCATCTCTACGCTTTCCCTCCAAGGCGCGTCCACATCTCAAGTGGACCATGTTCTACACTGAGTTTACGTGGTCGCTGAGGGCAGTGGTGGACACGCCATGTGGCACCCAGGTGCCCCTTCCATCCCGAATGCTGGGAGCGTGGCCTGCGGGACCCTTTCCTCGAAGTGCCCTTTCCTGGGGCAGCCACGCGGGGGGTGAGGAAGCGGCCCCCATCCTGCGCCCTCCCAGGGTCTGAGCTCCTGTGGGGTCTGGAAGGGCTCTGCTCAGACAGCGCTGCAGGCCCACTTTCCCTCCCAAGGGTCTGACCCCAACAGTGCTCTCCGCAGACATCTTACACAGCGGCCTGCGTCCGAGTTGGCTTCCCGGGAGCTCAGCCAGCAACAAGGGCGTTTTTGTTATTTTTTTCCCCCAACGCAGTGTCTTCCCTCACCTGCTGTTACAACAGAATAATCTCATCAGCTGAACCCTAAAGACACACTCCAGTCACCCTGCCAGAAGTGGGGCGCCCTCCCCACACGCCGGGTCCCTAGGAGGTCGTGCAAGTCCCACAGCACTAATACGACAAGTCCAGGGCCAGACAGACTCCTTAAATGAGCCTGAGCTTGACGATGGCCAGAGAGGAGCGGCTGAAGTTCACCCTGTGACCCCCGTCAGCCACCTGCAAACAAGCTGGCGGTCTGGACAGGGTCATGAAGGGCTCGGGCACTTGAGAGGAGCCCTGGGCTTGGTCGGGCTGTAAAGGGGCGGCGGAAGTTCCTTTCTGGACACCTTCCCTTAAATCAAGGCTGCTCGGACTGCATCAGTGTGCCCCGCTGGACCAGACGGCCCAGCACTGACCCTCTTCCGTGTAGGTAGTTCATGTCCAATTAAAAGGAGCAGCACAAGAAGACACGGATTATTCCCCGTGATGCTGGGACAGCTGGCTAGTCTTGGGGACACGGTTTCCCCCTGGGGCTTCAGAGGTAAAATGAATTCCAGGAGTACAGAAAGGCAGGAGGGAGGGCAGGGAATCAACCTGAAGGCAGGACAAGCTGGCACAGATGCAGTTATCTCAGCAGAGACGGACCTTCCAAATGTGCAGCAGTGACCGGAATTACACAGGTGAAGGGACAGGCTCCATTACAGCCGATGAGCTCAAGAAGACGGCAGGGATGTGAGGACGCATTCAAACACGACCGAAGTTAGACCCCCCAAAGGAGACAGGAAAACAGGGGCTGCGGACGGAAACCAAGGGGCCGTTGTCCATCCATCCCTGTATCTTGGACACGTCTCCCGTGTTGCTCACAGGACCAAGCCAGACTCGGAATATTCTGAGAATTCTAGAACGTTCATCAGAATGCTTGCGGATTCAGATTTACAGGACAGAGCTGCTGAGAGCCTCATCATGTTAAAGGTGGGAAAGAAATTGAAAAAGGACTGGAGGAAGTGAAAACATTAACAGAAGTGGCCTCTCAGAAGTGGATTTATGGGTGTTTTCCTTCTTCCTCAGACTTCCCCGGCTTTTCCAATTTGTTCTACAGTGAGTATGTGTTTTGTTTTGTTTTGTTTTTTCCTGATGTTTCAAAGTCGCTCCTCCAATGTCACCACACCAGCCTAAGAACTTGGTGCCTCATTTCCTCTCTACCCCGGCCCCCCAAATCTAGGCTGGGGTAACGGGGATCTCTCACCTGCAATCCCAACATTCTGGGCCCCTTCCTCTGCACGGGTCCACCTGCGGGCCCCTCATGATGGCGAGGCAGGCGCCTGGGCGCGCCCCACCCCAGGCTACCCAGCGCCCATCTCCCAGCCACAAAGTGAGCGCTGCTGAGCAGCTGCAGACTGCGGCCCGGCTTCCTCCTTCACAGAACCACTGCATGTTCCCTCTCACAGCTCATCTACAGCAGCCTTACTGCCGCTGAGAGCTGAGGCGCTTTGCATTTTGGGTAAGGGGGTCGCTAGCTCCCTGGGGCTCTTCACTCGCTCCTTCCAGACAACTGTTTAAGGTAGGGAGCTTTCGCTCTACAGCCCCTGGGCCCTGAAGCTGAGCTGTGTTTCCTCACAGGAACCCCTGGCAGGTCCCCAGGTGGGGGTGACGTGGTCAACTCACACCTCATACCCAATACGGGAGGACCCAGGACTGCCCAACCAGGCTGGCCCGGAGACGTCCTGCTGGATTTGGGCAGGGTCAGGGGCACATATGGAACCCTCCGCCAACTCGGTGTTGGCGTGGGGACGGGGAGGGGGTCTGGCTGTGAACAGTCATGCCCGTGAGGTCCAGGGCAGGTGCATCAGGTGGACAGGGACCGGCTGGCCCCTGTCCACCTCCCCAGCTCATGCTCTACCTCTCTGAAAGCCCCAGGTTTCTGCACAACCACCAGCTTGCTTGCTTTTCTTTTTTTTTTTAAACACCAGCTTTCTTGAGAGGAGAGCGGGCAGGATCTACCGGCCAAGCTCTTCTCCCAAGGGAGCCGCCGCCCACCAGTGTGGCCCATCCGGCCCCTCCCATGCCCCCTCCCCCAAACCCACAGGACTTGGTGCGGATTCACCAGGTTAGAAGAAGAGCCTGAAGTCTGCAAGATGCCTCACTCCCCGATTGTGTGTGACTGTTTCAAGAAACATCAACACTGTCATTAGACCAAATTTGGGGGAAACCTCCAAGAACCACAGAACGGTCAAGCAGTGACGCTGAGAAGACAAGGTTCCGTCGTCTGCAGGAGCCGCCAACACAAGTTTCTCCTCTGGTGAGAATGGCGTTGATGCCCTCTGTGCATCGCTTGACGGCAGTTCTCACAGCAGCTTGCCATCTCAGCTGATGCTATAACCACGGCGTGCATCCTCCCTGAGGAGGTCTGCAAAGCTCAGTAGATCAACAAGTAACCAGAGGCTCAGGCAACTGAGACGGAAAGCCATATTCACACACAGAGATGAACTCTGTCTTACATTCTCCTCCCAGGACAGTCACCCACAACACTCACCCACACCTGCCACTTCCCTACACTATAGATGGACTAGCCCGCCCTTCACAGGTGGGACTCCTAACTCCCAGTACCTCAGAATGTGGCCGTATTTGGACATAGGGTCCTGACACAGGTAATCAAGTGAAAATGAGGCCATTAGGGTAGGTCCTACTCCAATATGACTGGCATCTTTACAAAGGGGGAAGTCTGGAGGCGGACATAGGGAGGGCGCCCTGTGGGGATGAAGGCAGGATCTATAAGGATCCCAAGCGAACCAGCAGAACTGGGGAGATGCCTGGAACAATCTACCTTGCTGCTGCAGAAGGAACCGATTTCCAGCCTCCAGACCCGTGAGACCATCAATTTCTGCTGTTCAGCCCACCCAGCAGGTCCTGTGTCATGGCAGCCCTAGCAAACTAACATACTGTCTCTACAAAATGGGCAAAGGAATGCCCACGACCGCCCGTCCCAGGGGCTGCCGTGCCAGCGGCAGATCTGAAAACGCTCTGTAAAACTCCTCACCCACCTCAATCCATAAGTTGGTCGGCGTCAACCCCAAGGGCTGGTTCCCCGCTGCAGGGTACACCTCTCGGGGCAGGGCCTGTGTGCTTTTCCTGATGTCAGCAAACACCCGAAACTTCACCCTCTGTTCAGCCACCTCAGGATGGGCTCAACCGCCTGACCTACTCACGTGCCCACATGCAGTTCTTTAAGGGTAGAGGTGAAGCAATTTTGGGGAGCTTTGGGGACACTGGAAAACTCCAAAGCCTATTCCTTACGTTTCCAGGCCACCACGGTGGACGTGTATGGACCCAGCAGCCAAAAGATCCTTCACAGCCTGCATCTGCAAATGTCTAGGCTGGAACCTCTCCGTGGCAGGAACGGTTCTGCCCTCCCAGCCTCTGCCAGCCTGAGAGCACCAAAGTAGGAGGACAAGAGGAGAGCGTAGAACCCAATACATTCTTGTCCTGTACTGAAGGCAAGCTGGCCCGTGTGCCAAGTCCAGTGTGTCACCTGTTTTGGTATGGCCCATGAATAAAGGATGTTTTTAAATTTTTAAATAGTTTGGGGTGGGGGGATAGGGAGAGGAGTAGAAATCAAACTAAGAATACTATTTCGTGATGTGAAGATGATATGAAATTCAAATCGCGGTGTCCATACGTGGTTGTACTGAGCCCTGCGTGTTTGCTCCCGTTTTTGTCCACGGTTCTTTTGTGCGTTGAAGACGCAGAGACCTTTTGGCCCGCGAAGCCGAAAGTATTGACTGTCTGACCTTTTACAGAAAATGTTTGCCGACCCCAGTTCTCCACCAGCCCTGCTTATGCAGTGGGGCGAAGGGTCAGGCTGCGGCGGGCACAAGTGCAGGCCTGTGGGCATCAACCACGGGCGTGGGGCTGGACGCCTGAAGCGCTGGCCACGGTAGCAGGTGGGACAGGAGATGGCAACAGGAAGGTGTGGCTAGAAATGGAGACAGACATGCCCGAAAGGTAAACTTCACCAATTCAAAACTGTTATCTGGAGCTGGCTCCAGGCTTAAGAGGGGAGGCCTTGCCCCCGGTCTCCCTTCAGCAGCAGTAGGGACCCCCCCCCCATGTGATAAGGATCAGTCCTCGTGCAAGTGACACTCAGGACAGTCAGGATCTCATGGCCTGGCCGTGGACCTCACCTTAAGTTTCTCCTGGATTATGGAAGCGATTCTAAGACAACCAATTTACAAAACTGAGAAAATAACACGTCAGTAGTTAGTAGGCTGGCAACGGCCTGTATATTTCACACCATCAAAATCAACACCATGACAACCGTTAACTGAAAAGGAATTTCGGCATGTGGTGGGTGAAGCCGCCAAGTGAGAGTGTCTGACACCCCACCTGATTCACGTGGTGCAAGTTCCTTACACAGGAGAGAGAACGCGTTTCCTTACCTTTCCTATAATTACATAGCGCATCAAATTCTATAGAGTGTGTGATAAGGAACGTCCCTTCCTCTCTCCTGTATTAAACCTATA